ACCATATTTGAAGCAATTATCTTCTTATTTGTCGTGCTCCCTTTCGATGTTGGTGATCGTTGTGAAGAAAGATCTTCATATGAAAAGATACTTTACTATGGCCTTTTCATCTTTTTCAAAAGGGTCCCTTATAGTAATTTATTTGTGTCACAGATGGTAGTAGACGAAATGAATATACTAACTACAATCTTCCTGAGGTATGACAACCAAAAGATCATATACCCCAACAGCGTCCAGACATGGGAGACGCTATTGATTTTTGCGTCCACATCTCGACTCCAATAGAGAAAATAGCCACTATTAAAGAAAGAATAAAAAGGTAAAAATTTTATCCTTCTCTTTTTTTTCAAAATTTTCTATTTCTATATGATTTCTTCTCATCAGCCAACTGTGAAGAATATGCTCCTTGCCTTGAGGAAATTATGTGCCCGCATAATATAGGAGCTTAGTATTCTTTTAACCAAATATTTTGCTATAAGAAACACTAATTTCAAACTAGTAATTTTGGTGGGGCTGTGGCTGCTATAAAATTTAGCTACATTCAGAGCAGAAGCGACCATTGGCACCCGGATCCAATTTTGATAATGAAGGATGTGGAGGACTTGAACAAACTAAGGTTCTCAGTGTGGCTTACACACAGAATGAACCACCAAAACATTGGAGAGAGATGGACTAGGAGAGCCCTTTTGGTTGAAGAGATGATAAAGGTCTTCAGAGAGCTCGACATCGAGTACCGAATGCTGCCTCTTGACGTCAATGTCAGAAGCTTGCCGAGTTGCAACTCCGATGATTCGCCTTCAACTTCAATGTGGGAGCTTATTTTGCGGCCGAGGAAGTGATGAAGAATGCATATGCCAGTGGGACTTACTAATCAGTGGCAATAAATTGGTGCTAAAACTTGTATAACAAATATTAAGTGAAAAAAAAAAGTAGGAATCTAATTCCTTGATTTTGTGAAAGATGTTTATGCTTGGGGGAAAAGAATTGTGCCCTGTTGATGAAACTGTAAATCACGGTGACAAGAGATCATTCCTGCGCGGTTGAATTGTAATTAATTTATGTAACACAATTTTAGTTTATGGATTCCTTTGTGTGAAACTTACGGAGTGTGGATGTAAACATCCTTATCATATGCCAAAATCAATAAAATAGTTCTAAGTTCTAAGCTCTAACATCCAAGGAAACAATAACTCAAATGTTCCAAGTTACATTTATTATAACTATTTATGATCTAATATATTATCACATAGATAAAGAAGTGTGCAATATTAAACATTTTCCTTTAGAAAACAACGACAAAGAAGATGGATATATATGTTTGTAGGCATATATGTGGTGTGTGTATGGATATATATGTTTGCAAGAATTATTTCTTTCATTTGCTCTTTTTTCTTGTGTATGGATATCAATGTGTGAATTTGCTCATTTACGTGTGTGTGTACAGATATCAATATGTTTAAAATATTCTTTATTTGTGGTCTTATAATTAATTATCATTTGACTTAGCCCGTTTCTTGACATGAAATTTCTCAACAAATTTATCATATTTTCTTGCAGATTTTTTAGAAGAACCCCACCAAAATTGATAATTATGGTATTTGGTTGCGTTATCAAGACTGCAACTGTCCTTGTCAAGCTTTGCAAGAGAGAGAGCACAAAACAATTCCACAACACGAAGCTGAAGACCACATACAAGGCATCAAGGCCCAACTTGTTTATGTAACTTGGTCATTTGACGATCAAGCTTTTAACTTGTTTATGGAATGTACATTTTTGTTCAACAAATTGATTACTCACTAATGCTCTTTTTAGTTGTAATTATATTGTGAATGAAAAAATGAAAAAAAAATAATTAATTATCATAAATTTATTGTTAAAAAACTCAAAATCATAGCATTATGTTTTTTTTTAAAAGTTAAACAAGTATTTCTAAATACCAAAAATAATTATATATACTTAAGTTTTATACCATGTCTATTTTGGTCATTTTACATATCCACAGCAATTCAACCTCAAAATTTACCAAACGCTATTACACTGATTTTAGAACTAGCACAGCTACTATAATTACAGTTTACCAAATACTCAGCTGCTTTTTGTAACAGCTGCTTCTTTCTTCAACACAGCTAAAAATAATTTTTCTAAAATCCACAGCACTACTAAACTAAGCCTAAGCCTAGATCTTTGGTCCCAAAGCACTCTGGTTCTCGTGATAGTAAAGAAAGGTTAGAAGCAATAGTTTTTAAGTGGTATGCTTTCTTTTTTACTTCAATCTGATACGAGGTGGTATTGATTATTGATGGGAGATGAACATTACTATCAAATTTGTCATTTATACATGTAATTCATGTGGATTTTATTTGAGGACTGATTTGTCTTGGTTTTGTTTTTCACTATATTGTTGTGCTATGCTTGGATTAAAGATGAATACATTGATCTAGGCAATATATAGGGCCTTTCCAATGCTCAAAATAGTGGAATAAAACTCAGTTATCGGTAGTTCTCTTCATGGCTAGATTTTATTTGCTTTTTTCTCAATGTTGTGCAGAAGCAAGCTTGCGTATTGTGAATGGAACACTCGTTGCTTTAAGACAATCGTTAGGCTAATAAACAAGATGGCAAAAAGCAAGAGAAGCAAGGATTATTCTAAGAGGACATTTATAACCGTCACTTAAACCAATCCCAAAAAAGTGACTCAAATATTTGAGAAAAAACAAATTAATCCCAGAAGACTAACTAAAATATTTGATAACAAAACAAATACAATAGAAAAAAAAAAATACTGCAGTAGTAAAAAAGCAAAGAACTAAATAAAATCTCAAATACTTCATAAACATAAAAATGAGTTCAACTGGCGAACCAACAATAGAGGAAGCAATAAAATGAGTAGAACGAAAACCCTTCAGTAAAATCAGATAAATATATGTTTATATTTCTACAATTATACTTTTGTATATGAAATTTTGATAGTGATACATTGTAATAACATTGTTCCATTTCCAAATGTTAGATATTGTATAGAAGTAACATACATTGTTTACATATTGTTTACAATGAAACTATAAATATCACATAAAAATGTCTTGTGCATCAAAAGAAAAGTTAGAAAAAGGTAGTAATGGAAAAAAATGGTTCAGGTTTTATATCTTTTATTGGTAACAACATATATGAGGGAATTTTCAATTACAATCTTTCCCTGAAGAGTAACTGCAATATTTACCACTGAATTCAATGGGGTCCATGAATCTAAGAAATAGTGACAACTCTTGATCTCTCTCAATATCTCTCTCAATTCGGAAATCTAGGAGCATGAAGAAAAAGAAGAAAGATAAAATCTCAAAATTCTCATATAAAATAGCAGATTACATGAATAATACTAAAGAAGAAATAGATAGAGAAATTAAATAGATAGATATAAAGAATTTGGTTCAGGTATTTGCCTTTAATTGCTAACATCACATATTAGAAATAACTGAAATAGGATTTAGCAATGCCCTTCAGTACCAACTGAATTATAAAAAATATTTATGAAAAATAAGAAGGAAAAAGAAATGAAGAAGCAATACTGCCGTGGTAAAAAAGCAAGGAAGTAAATAAAATCTCAAAAACTTCATAAACATAAAAATGAGTTCAACTGGCGAACCAACAACAGAGGTAGCAGTAAAAGAATAGAACGAAAACCCTTCAGTAAAATCAGATAAAGAGCAAACCATTTTAGAATAGAAAATGATAATAAGAGTAATAACTGTTGACAAAACACGATAAATAAAAGAACATAAATCTTAAATAATCCAGGCAACGTCAAAGCTTGCTAAATCACTATAAACAGTTATTTAATACATGGTAACAATAAAAGAAAAATACTAAATCATTACCAAATGAGAAATCACATTAGATAGAGAACATAGTATTGACAGATTAATATAACAAATAAAATACAAACCTAATTTTTACTCAAATAGCAATAACTTATATAATATAAACACTAAAGAATATTTTACAAGTAATATTAACAAACTTAATACAAACATAATCATAATAACATAAAACAGTGAGCACATATATTAATAACTCAATATATACAGTTAAAAAATCATAGTAATATAATACAAATAATTTTAAGAGCAGTTAGAAATAACGTGGAAGAAGTAAGAAAGAAGTACCGTAGAGCAATAACGAAAGTGGATAGAGTTTATGCAGGAGAAGTAAAAAAAAAAACTCCAAAACAGAGATAATAGAAAAGGAAAAAAAAACTCACTATTGAAAACTGAAGAAAAAAAAGAAACAGAGAAGATAGACGGTAAGTGTATGACAACAAAAACATAAACAAAGCAAAAGACAATAAGCATGAAAGAGAAAATAATATATTTATACAAAGAAAATAAACTTTTGAGCATGTAGCGGTAGCAAATACTAAAAACAAAACTTAATACTACCGATGTTACGCTGCAAGCAAAACGTAATAATTTATTAAAAACAGGTGTTACACTGCATGATAACTACCCCAGAACAGAACGAATAACCTGCCGACAGTGAAAATAAATTAATCCGTTAGAAAAAAATTACCTTGCACTAAAAATAAATGTATAAATATTCCCGACTAATATAACCTGCAAACAAATATGAAAACATATAATAATTAGTAAAAACAGGTGTTAGACAACATAATAACCAATAAACGGATGAAAAACAACCGAAATAGAGAAAAGAGGAAAAAAAAAAAAAAAAATAGATTATTTCGAAGACCTTGCTCCAAGTCAATGAATGAGGACTTATTCATGTCCTAACATGTCGTGAGGAATACGGTGGTTGTAAGCATCCACATCAATGGTTTAGCATCCACATATATGTGTGACTTAATTGCCGTGGGGAATATGTCGTTTATATTGACTAATACGTGTATCTAAGTCAATGGAACAAACACATAACTTTTAATTTTAATTCAATATCTATAGATTGCTGATTGAGAGTAATCCGTAATCCTCACTTCACTTAGGAGCATGGGGGTTTTCCGAGCTTTTCCTTTCCGTGCTTCTCTCGTGTTCTTGCTGCTCATCCGTGTTCTTGACATCTCTGTCTCAGTTGTACCTGGAAATGAGACAGACAGATTGGCTTTGCTTTCCATCAAGACTCACATTACTGAGGATCCTTATAGGATCACAAGCTCATGGAATGACTCTGTCTACTTTTGCCGGTGGCAAGGCGTTTCATGCGGTCACAAGCACCAAAGAGTCACCCAGTTGAATTTGAGGTCATTGAGTTTGAAAGGTTCCCTGTCTCCTTATATTGGGAACCTTTCGTTTCTTAGAGTAATTGATCTCTCAAATAATAGTTTCAATGGAGAACTGCCAAATGAGATCGGCCGCTTGTTCAGGCTGCAAGAGTTCGTTTTGGAGCGTAATCTGGTCGGAGGGCACATACCGATCGGTTTGTCAAACTGTTCACGTTTGAGAATCCTCAACCTCGGTTTCAATGAGTTCATTGGAGATATTCCTTTTGAGCTTGGCTTTTTGCCAAAGTTGGTACGACTAAAACTTCTTGCAAACAAATTGAAGGGAAGTATTCCCCATCATCTAGGGAATATCTCATCTCTTCAACAACTTAATGTGTCAGCCAATAAGTTGGAAGGAAACATTCCAGGGTCACTAGGCAACTTGAAGAGCTTAATTTCTCTTAGCCTTAGTTACAACAAGCTATCAGGTATGGTCCCTCCATCTATTTATAATCTTTCGAACCTTGAAGCCTTAGTTATTGCTGAGAATCACCTTCAAGGTAGTTTTCCTCATGACGTAGGCCTTAGTCTCCCAAATATCGAAATATTTCGTGTATGGGGAAACCAACTTAGTGGATCCATTCCGGTTTCTTTATCAAATTTTTCAAAGCTTCTGGAATTGGACATCTCGGAGAACAACTTCTCCGGAGGGCTTCCTGCTATTTTTGGTAACATGAAGAACCTTATGTGGGTAGATATTAGTGGTACTAATCTTGGATCTGGAAAAGTCAATGACCTAGACTTTCTAACTTCATTTACCAACTGTAGCAATCTCATATTGCTTGAGCTTCAAAATAATAACTTTGGCGGGTCATTGCCCAACTCTATTGGAAACTTCTCAGCTCAACTAGAAATTCTATCACTAGAAGCGAATCGAATTTCAGGAAACATTCCACCTAGTGTTGGAAATCTAATGAGCTTAAACGCTTTGATTCTAAATATAAACCAGCTCACAGGAACCATCCCCACAACTATTGGTAAACTTCATAATTTAGTAAAATTGTATTTGGGTAGCAACCAGTTATTTGGGGAAATCCCATCCTCCTTTGGAAATCTCACATTATTGAACGAGCTTAGATTAGAAGAAAACTATCTGCATGGCAGAATCCCTTCAAGCATCAGAAACTGTCAACACTTGCAGTTGCTACATCTCTATTCTAACTCCCTAAGTGGTACTATTCCTCCAGAAGTAATTGGGTTACCATCTTTGTCGTTGTCCGTAGACCTCTCAGGAAATCGTCTGAGTGGCCCTTTACCATCTGAAATTGGTAACTTGAAATTTCTTCAAGAATTGCTTGTTTTTTATAATCAGTTGACTGGTGACATTCCTAGCAGGATTGGTGAGTGTGAAAGTTTGAGATGGGTTTATATGGATCACAATAATTTTAGCGGAAGCATTGAATCGTTGCATTCATTGAAAGGTATTGAACATATGGATCTTTCACACAACAATCTTTCTGGGCACATCCCGAAAGAATTTGCGGAGTTTGTCTTCTTGGTGAAGTTAGATCTTTCGTTCAATGATCTCGAGGGTGAAGTACCTAGTGGAAGAATTTTTAGTAATGTTAGTGGAGATATTTCACTTGCCGGTAACAATAAGCTTTGTGGGGGGATGGCTAAATTTCATTTAGTTCCTTGTTCTAGGAAATCTCCGAGGAAGCATCACTTCTCTTTTACAAGAAAGCTGATAATCTCCATTGTTTGTGGCCTAGTCGGAGTACTTTTGACGTCATATTTTCTCGTCCTTTGTTGCATGAGGAAGAATAAAAAGCAAGCTTCAAAAACTTTGTCGCGAGATTTTCCATTCTTGAATATTTCTTATGGAGAGCTTCAGAAAGCAACTAATGGGTTTTGTCCAGAGAATCTAATTGGTGTTGGTGGCTTTGGCTCAGTGTATAAAGGAGTGCTTGAACCTCATCAACTATCCATAGCAGTGAAGGTCTTCAACCTTCAAAGAAGAGGAGCTTCCAAAAGTTTCAAGGCTGAATGCGAAACTCTAAGGAATATTAGACACCGGAATCTAGTGAAAATCATTACTGCTTGTTCAAGTATTGATTTCCAAGGTAACGATTTCAATGCCCTCGTCTACGAATTCATGCCAAATGGAAGTTTGGAAGATTGGTTGCATCCATATCCACAAACATTGGAGGAACAGAGGAAAAGTTTGAGTTTATCTCAGCGGTTGAATATAGTCACTGATGTGGCATCGGCATTGGATTATCTTCATAACGACAATGAACTTCCAATCATACATTGTGATCTAAAGCCAAGAAACATTCTTCTTGACCAAGACATGACTGCTCATGTGGGAGACTTTGGTCTGTCAAGGATTATTGCAAATGACAATGTTCAAACATCTCAGAATCACATAAGCAGCTCTGTTGGAGTAAGAGGAACAATCGGATATGTAGCTCCAGGTAACTGTCTTCTTAAAAGCGATTGTGATTTACTTGATACTGCGGTTTTCTTATTAGAATCTTTGTTTAGGACACAGAATGTGTGTGTGTGTGTGTGTGGTTACATAGGTAAGGTAGGTTGGTATGCAAGTAATATTATAGAAAATGACAACTAGATATGTCAAAATGCTAACTCCATTATTCGCATTCGACTTCTGGTATATTGCAGAATATGGCATGGGAAGCAAGGTGTCGACTGAAGGAGATGTGTATAGCTTTGGAATCCTCTTGTTGGAAATCTTGACGGCAAAAAATCCCACCAATGAAAGTCTTGAAGGACTTAGCCTTCATGAATTTGTCAAAATGGCTTTTCCAAAACGGATGATGGAGATAGTCGATCAAAGTCTCTTAACAGGAGGAGAAGAAGAAGCATCTTGTAGCCGCACAAAGGCGCTAACAAGAAGTGGCAAGGCACAAGAGTGCTTAATTTCCATTTTCACAATTGGTTTGAAGTGCTCAGAGGAATTACCAAGAAATAGGATGAAGATTAATGATGCCTTCAAGGACTTACAAAAAGTTAAAGACAGCTTCTCAAAGATGTGAGGTACAAGAATTCGTAAAATAGCTTATCTTCTCTCGACAAATGCACTAAATCCTGCATCCTCTTCTATGAATTATCTAACAGTTTTCACTTTTCAATCTCGTTTTGCAGGATCGATAACGGACCCTAATGTTTTTAAATGCATACAACTGGTATATGGTGTAATTTCTTCTTTCTGGTTACCTATAAGACCAACTATCAAAATAGTATGACTAGCTTTTCAGAGGCAAAAAAAAAAAAAAAAAACGGGGGTATGACTAGCTTATGTGTAATATATATGTTTTTGCAGTTGAAACCAAAAGTATGACTAGCTTATGTGTAATATATATGTTTTTGCAGTTGAAACCATAAGTATGACTAGCTTATGGTGTAATATATGTTTTTGCAGTTGAAACCATGCAATGGTGGTGGTTTGAAAATCTTTGCATGTACCAATAATAAATTGCTCAAGACTTTATGACTATGTTTCATATACATGTCACTGAAAATATTGCAAGTTCTGTTCCTTCCTCTGTTTCACATAAAATGTTCACTTTTTATAGTCACAAAAAGGAGATTAATAATTTTAGTATGCATTGTAATTAACTGAATGCTCTTTATTTATTTTTTTTTATTTTTTTTTTCTAAAAGGAGTTGAAGCCTCTTATATATTTGGATATTTAAACTCCAAACCTCAATAGTAGAGGTGGGTTTGTATGGATTTACAGATATGTTACACCTGCAACCATAAACTCTTCGAGTCAACAAATATACATGTCATTCTTTTTTTGTGGATCGCAGATAATCCACTCTTCCTTTGTTCTCTTTGCCAGATATACATAGAACTTGGTACTTTTATTTCCAATTAACAAAAATTTATTTCACACGATTCTATTGTTCTTTGTGCTGCAAATTTTAGCATGCCAATTAAGCAAAAATCTCCGAAATTGTTTTGAAAAGCCTCCTAAAAATTAAGAGTCCAAAGCTTATTCATCGAAAAAGCAAAAAGAAATTTGTAGCCTCATTGAAAGCCTTAAGCTTAAAGGCAAAGATGATTCATTAATTCTGATTACTCGTCCCTTCTGGCTTTTCCACTTCCTCATCACGCTTAAGTGTTCTGTTGCAATACAAGTGTATATTGTAGTTGGGGTATTTTATTCTTTTTTGCAAATGAATGTATTTTGTAATATAATGTATTGATTTCAGCGTCTATACATTTTTTTAAATAATTTAAGAAAAAATCTGATAATTTTGATGACCAAAAATTTCTAGTAAAACAAAAAAAAAGAAAAAAAAAAAAAAGAGAAACTGCGATCAAATCTGTAAAAATTTGGTCACAAAAGATTTTTGCGACCAAATCTCACTTCTTTGCAAATTTTTTTGCGACCAAATCAGTTTTGGTTGCAGAAAACTCAATTTTTAAAGAATACTAATCCAAATTGTTCGCAATTTCTACAAGTACTCAAACTCGATTAAAGCACATCGAATCTATCTCAGGCTCTCTGTGCTGTGTTATTATTATTATTATTATTATTGTTATTATTATTATTATTATTATTTAACCAGTAGGAATCCTTTCGTTTTCTTCCTGAACATCTTGGGCATCAATTTTTCAGTTTTTGAAAGCTAGCTAGCAGTACGCGTATATATCACTAAAATGTTTTGTTAAATGATAGAAATCAAATTGGAAATCAAATAGAAATTGAAAGAAACAAATGACCTTTGATTCGAGAGTTAGGTCACACCTCTCCAATAATCTCTAATCTACTGTTAATACTTTCCAAAACATGCATGAGAAACCCTAATCTCCCCCTAACAACTTTCTTAAACTCAGTCTCCCACTAATGACCTTGTCAATTTACCAAACTGCCCATGTTCTTAAACCTACGCCTATAATACGTTTTCAACCCCTCCCTTCCAAGTCTAACATTACTCCCCTCCCAATGAGACACCTTGTCCTCAAGGTGGAACCAAGGAAATTGCTCCCGAATCAAGTCAAACGGCTCTCATGTAGCTTCATAGTCTGGTAGATCTTTCCACTTGATAAGCACCTCCCTTCCGCCCGACGTTCCTTGACAGCCCCCGTCCATTGCCTCTGGTTCCAAGATGACCTCAATGTCCTCAGTCAAAGTAGGCGGCAATGAAGGTGAGGAAGCATGATCTCCAATAGCACGTCTCAACTGGGACACATGAAACACCAGATGAATGGCTGACGTAGGTGGTAATCGCAAACGATATGCCACCTCACCAATGCGCTTTGTGATCTCAAACGGCCCAAAGTACCAAGCAGAAAGCTTCTCATTCCTCCGTCGTGCTAACGTCTTCTGTTGGTATGGTCGGAGCTTCAAATAAACTCGATCCCCCACCTCAAACTGGACATCCCTCACTATGTCCATCCGCTTGCTGCTTCATAATCTGTTGAGTTTTTAATAAATGTTTCTTCAACTCATCCAACATCCGATCTCGTTCCTCCAAATATTGATCCACCTGCGACACTGGCGTGGTGCGGTGCCCATAGTGCACCAAATGTGGTGGATCCCGCCCATACAGGATCTTAAAGGGGGTAGTCTGCGTCGCCCTATGATAAGAGGTGTTATACCAATACTCCGCCCATGCAAACCACCTCGCCCAATGCTTGGGTGTGTCAGATACAAAACACCTTAAATATGTCTCCACACTCCGATTAACGACCTCCAATTGGCCATCGGTCTGCGGGTGATAAGCAACACTTCTCTTTAGAACGGTCCCCTGCATCCGAAACAACTCCCTCCAAAAGTGACTCAAAAAGATCTTGTCCCGGTCCAACACTATCAATTTCGGAACACCATGTAGTCGCACAACCCCTCTCATAAACGCCGCTGCTACAGACATTGCCGTATAGGGATGTCGGAGGGGTATAAAATGAGCATACTTGCTCAGGCGATCAACCACCACCAAAATCACAGTGTATCCCTCCGACCGAGGCAACCCCTCAATAAAGTCCATCGTCACCTCCTCCCAAACCTTCTCCGATAGCGATAGAGGCTGCAACAACCCACCTGGTGCCATCGCCATATACTTGTGACGCTGACACACATCACACCGCGCAACCATGTCCTCCACATCCTTTTTCATCCCTACCCAATATAGCTCTGCCGCCAACCGTCGATATGTCTTAAGAACACCTGAATGCCCACCAATAGCACTTCCATGAAATTCCTATAGTAATCTCAGTATGTGAATAGAAGTCCGTGGCAGAACAAATCGTCCCTGGTACAACAGACGTTGGCCATCCAACGCATAACCGGGTGGCCCTGCCCCTCCCCACAGCAAGGCTGCTCGAATCTTCCCCAACTCCTCATCGGCCTCGCTCTCCTGCCGTAAAGCCTCCCAATCTAACACCAAAGGAACTGACAATGCCGACAACTGAGGCGCCTCAACCCTCCTTGATAGGGCGTCTGCCGCCTTATTTTCCAACCCAGGGTGGTATTGTATCTCAAAATCATAACCCAACAGCTTCGAAAGCCAACGCTGATGTTCCTCCGTCACCATACGCTGCTCCAGCAGAAATTTTAAACTACGCTGATCCATATGAACTATGAAACGCCGTCCCAGTAAATAAGGTCGCCACTTCTGAATAGAGAGCACGATCGCCATGAGTTCGCACTCATACACCGATTTGAGTCACGCTCCAGCTGTTAACACCTTACTGAAATAGGCGACTGGTCGCTGGTTCTGCATGAGTACTGCACCCAAACCATACCCTGAAGCATCAATTTCAATTACAAATGGTTGGCTAAAGTCTGGTAAGGCCAACACTGGAATGCTAGTCATCGCTTTCTTCAACTGCTCAAAGGCCTGAGTCGCTGCCTCCCCCCACTGAAAACTATCTTTCTTCAATTGTTCTGTCAAAGGCCACGCAATCAAACTATATCCCCTGACGAACTTCTGATAGTACCCTGTGAGCCCAAGAAACCCTCTCAACTCCTTCAATGTCTTAGGTAATGGCCATTCCCGCATTGTCGCAACCTTAGATGGGTCTGCCGCAACTCCCTCTGCCGACACTACATGCCCTAAATATTCCACCCTCGTTTGAGCAAACAGGCATTTCTTTCGATTAGCATAGAGTTGTTGGCTTCGTAACTCAGTCAACACCTTCTCCAAATGGCGGACATGGTCTTCCAATGTGCTACTATAAACTAGGATGTCATAAAAAAATACCAAAACAAACTTACGCAAATAGAGTTGGAAGACTTTATTCATCAACGACTGAAAAGTGGCAGGGGCGTTGGTGAGGCCAAACGGCATGACTAGGAATTCATAATGACCCTCATGAGTCCAAAATGCAGTCTTTTGCACATCCTCACACTGCATTCGAATCTGATGATACCCCAACTTCAGATCGATCTTCGTAAACACCGTCACTCCATACAACTCATCTAACAGCTCATCAATCACCGGAATCGGAAACTTATCCAACACCGTTTCCTTATTCAATGCCCGATAGTCGACACAAAATCTCCAACTCCCATCTTTTTTCTTCACTAATAAAATAGGGCTCGAAAACGGGCTCACACTCGGCTGTATTATTCTTGCCTCCAACATCTCGTTGACCAATCTCTCGATCTCATCTTTCTGTACCTATGGGTAGCGATACGGCCGTACACTCACTGGTGATACCCCTTCCTTCAACACAATCGCGTGCTCATGCTCCCGCTTCAGGGGTAACCATTTGGGCATTTGGAAGACATCCTCAAACTGTTCCAACAGTTGCTGAACTGACTTGGTAACACTCGTCGTCGCCTCATTCCGCTCTCCTTCCATGATATGCAACTCAACCAAGAAACCGAGCCCACCATCCTGAATCGCCTTAACCATGGTTTTGAGGGTCACTAGGGTTTTGCACAAACTTGGATCTCCGCGAAGCACCACAGGGTGACCTCCCTCCTGAAACTCCATTGTCAAAAGCTTCCAATTTACCCTCGTCTCACCCAATGACTACAACCACTTCATTCCCAGAATGATGTCTGTGCTACCCAAATCCAAAGGAAGAAAATCTTCCAACACTTGAATTCCTTGGAGCATTAAAATCAGCCCTCTACAAATTTCTCTACTCATCTCCACGGTACCATTACCCATGACCACCCCAAGATTGCCGTTGTCGACTAACTGAAGTCCTAACCTCTCCACAACTCGATTGGAGATGAAATTATGAGTCGCTCCATTATCCACCAACACCGCCACATCCTGCTCTCCAATTTTCCCAACCAACTTCATAGTGTGGTTCGGTGTGAACCCCACCACCGAGTTGAGTGAGACCTCCACCACATCCAAATGAGGATGCACCTCCTCCTCTATCATATCTCCTATAGTCTCCCCCTCGTCGCCCTCATCATCACATACCGTGAGGACTTGTAATGAGCGATCCTTACACCAGTGCCCCGGAGAAAAAATTTTGTCGCACCGGAAGCACAACCCTTTCGCTCG